TAGCATCTTACACTGTGGCTTTTCAACACATCACAAAATATTAGTCGACTTAAATTTAAAAAAAGAAATCTCAAAAGTATCAACCGGAACAAAAACAGAGAAAATAAACATACCATCCTTCAAAACCCAAAATTTCCTTTTGATTACTGACTACTCTACCAATAATAATAAATGTCATAAAATATTTGCTCATGCCATAATGCCAGAGCAAGTCCCTGCAGGCTTAAATCTCTTCATATACAAAGGCATACTATTCTACACACTACTTACAGGGGCCTTTTTGTCAATTGGCTTTATGACAAATTTTTTGTCGTTAAAAGAGATGTTTCTTATTTCACTCCAAGGAAAACCAATCTTAGGTGTCAGCCTTCAAAGAGAAAAAGTTGTCATTAGAAGCAGCAAAGATGTGCATTTTATATGTCCACTAAGTCTTAACTCTGTACCATTTTCACTATCACACTTAGTTACATTTAGAAAACATAACAACAGTTCAAGCGTATTTTGGTAGACAATTTTTTTTTTTCAGATTATTCCACCAAATGAATAGATTACATAATGAATAAATTACATGGCACTGTAACAGAATTTGTGATTTGTGACTTATTCTACCACCATTAAATAGATGCTAAACATCACAATCATGTACTGATTCTTTATAAGCTATTGATTTTATTTTCAGTGAAAAGAATAACTATTTAAATTTCAGAAAATTCTGACCTTTCAAAGACTGAAATTAAATTAGCCTTCAGCAATGTTGTACTTCGGTATAAGTACAACTCAGATATAAGACATGTTCTTACATTTCCAAAATTCAAGTTAAATTTATTTCCCTTGCATCTTCAGTAAAATAAATTCAGTTCAGAAACCATTACAATGTTATGCACCAACTGCATTAACTGTAAATATTTTCCTCCATGAGCACAGGAAGTTTTTTCAATTCATATTATCTTAATTACAAGCATTAGAAAATGTTTAAGGATTTGATTGCTAACTATTGGGAGTTAAAGAATACAAAAAATTGGTTGATTGTTCCATCTGATCTGAACATTTTCTGAATATTTCCTTCTTTCAGGAGTTATATTGCCATCTAATGGCAATTAAGGCTTACAGAATTTTGTTACAGATTATATACACTGAAGAGCATCAAGCTTCAGTTCAGTTTGACACATCATGTTTAACTTCAAATCACTGTGAAAGGACTGTTTACATCAGATACTACTAAAAGTGTTTGGAAAGAAACAAAAGAGTAAGTCTCTTGTTCTGTTTTCAGATTCTTCAAATTTCGTATGTTGCAACTTTACCCCTCCTCAAGTAGGACAGAATATTTCATCTCTTTATCAAGACACAAGATTCACCTATTTTCTTTTATGTCTAAGAGGTTTCACTTTTAGATATCAAAGTTTTTCATGCCCTAACAGCTATAATCCTAGTCATTGCTCCTACAAAATGTTTCGCATTAAATATGTTGCTCAGCTTCTCAATGTCCTTTTCATCCTGACTGAAGAAGTCTTGAAGGAATGAAAAGTACAGAAAGAAACCACATAAAGATGGTCTAGCTATCATACATCCAACGTAAATATTAAGCAACGTAAATTTAAGTTTCCACAACTTCTTGAACTGCTCTTCCTTTCCCTTCTTTTGCATCCCTATTTAATCTTTAAAATTCAAATATTCTGGCAGTTAACATCTATCTCTTTTTTTTATCTTTTACATAGATTAGAAGGTCTTTGAGAACCTGTTTTGCTAGATGTTAATGAACACACAATAAGGTGTTTTTTGTATAATCTCAGACAGGATCTCCTAGGACAGAACTGCAAAGTGAGTATTAGCCACTTACTTATCATCATGCTCATAAATATTCAGACCCAAAGCATCAACCCCTAGCCACAATTCAGTTCCTTTTTTATTCTTTATTTCAAAATAGTTGACTCCATACATTTCCAAGTCTTGTGCTATCTTCAGGTATTCCATCATAGAATCTTCCCTGATGAAAGAAGAAAAATGGCATAATGCAGACAAATAAAAAAAAACAAACCACATGGTAAGAATAAGTGAACTGCAGAATAACTAATTAGCATAACATTCAGTTAGGAATTAAATCTCTGTTTGAAAGTAACATGTACGTTGACTCAGACACTTGTAGGGCTCTATATATCCAATATCTAATATCCAAACACAGTCTAAATCACTGCACTTTGTCTTTTCACCCTGTGAGCTAAGGAAATACTAAATATATTTCAGATGCAGGCAACTGTGGACAAAGGCAGTTGACAGCCTTACCAGAAATCATGTAGGTAAGCCGATAACCTAACTGGAAACTCAAGCCTCACTGAAGCCTTCACGGAAGTTTTTGGTAACAGCCTACCCTGGTCAGAATAAAAGAAAGCAGTTTCCAAACAAATATGCTGCCTCCCAAAACACATTCTAATAATAATAAAACCTTCAAGGTCTTGGAACATTTGTTATGTAATTACCTTAACATTCCCCTGTGCTCTTCATGCCAGTTCTGTATTCTTTCTTCCCACTGTTCTTTTGTCAGTTTGTGCTGTTCTAACACTCTGTGAATAGAAGTTGTTGCTATTAAATGACACTGACAACCAATTCAATCTCTTAAAGGTACAAACAACATATGCTTTACTTGAATAAACTTAAACATGACTTCCTAAACACTGCTCATCTTTTTAACCCAAATAGACACAGAAACTTTGTATTTCAACAAATACTCTTTTAAAACAGCGTGAAATCACTTCTTTTTTCATGGTGTTCTATATTCCTTGTAATACAAAGTCACACCACGGCATATCTCAACTTTCAGTAAAGTCACAAAATGTCATGTTTGGAACAGCTGAAAATGCAGACGTATAAAAAAGCCTCATACAACAATGATGGACATTAATCTCTAGGTATGTATGCACAGATACACTCAAGCTTTCATTCTGCTGTCATTTGAAAGAAAAAGTAACACATTAAGACAAGTTAGCAGACTGTTGGGGTTTTTTTCTTTGTTGGTTTTTGGTTTTTTTAATAAATAAAATCAATAGCGAAGCGGTTTCAGAAAACTATTTGAGGTTTATCTACAGCAGACTGCAATGATGAAATTATATTTTGACCTACTAGAACTTTCAATGTAGTACTGCAGTAAGAAATCAAATGCATATGATAACTTTAATATGCTTTTATTCCATGCATCTAGCATTTCAAGCATTCCTAGAGACAGTATTTTAAAAGACAATTTAGAAAAAAAAAAAAAAAAGGACTGCAAGATAATCTTACTTAAGAAGCATAACAGTTGTTTACCTTCTTTTCCCCTTACTCAGGAAAGTAAGGATTTACTACTTTT